TTGCATTATTATTAATTTACACTTTTAAGATCAACGAGACTATTGGCAGATGTATATTGAATATGAGCTTGCTGTAGAGGTGAAATTCAAATCATGGTAAAACTATGCGAGGTGTTTTGTGCGGGCATTAACATCTTTTGATAGAGATCACAATATAAAAATAGTAAAAGTTCTGTATTAAAAACAAAGAGAGGTCTAAAAAGATTTAAAAATGGATTAAATTAAAGCTGAAATCATTCTGAAAGCAATTTTTGTTGATATAGACGACCCACTAGGTCTTTAGTTGTATATTTTACCAAACTACTGGTTAATTTTTGATATTCTAAATAATAGTTTAAAATAAAGCCTACAGACGAGAATCCCTCAGACTTTTTGGATACAATGACTTCCAAAACTTTTAAAATCTTTCAAAGTTGCTAACAACTCATCAGAACTCACATCAGAATCATAAATCTATTGATTTTTCAAGAAATTTGTTTTATAAAACAACAAATATATTTCTTGTTTTTAAAAAGAAATTTCAGGGTAGGATATTTATTTCTTAAAACAAGGAACATATTTCTTGTTTTAAGTAAACATTTGTATCTATATACTTATGTCAAATAAAGATTCTTTTTAAAAAGTTGTAATTATTGGAAGCTGGGAATAAAGAAGCCCTGAATTTTAAGTATTTTTTTACAATCTCTAAGCGTTCAAAAATTGACCATATAAAATTGGTAACTCATTCAAATTGAGGGGGTTTAAACTTTATATGGTCATAATTTATGAATGCTGAGAGATAATACTATGAAACTTAAAATTTATCGATGAATATTAACTTAAATAGTCAAGAAAAGCAAAAATATATTTTACCAATTGGTTGCTGTCACCTTTGGGTCTGACATCAGAATCTATTTGCGTCAATGCTTGGAAATTGCTCACAAATCATAAAAAGCGTGACTTTGAACAATATGTGTTAATACTTCTATCAAGAAAAAAAAAAATTTAATATATAAAGATGACCTCTACGCCACTTATTAGCCACTTTTTATGGTTATATATTTATATGTATATATATATATATATATATATATATATATATATATATATATATATATATATATATATATATATATATATATATATATATATACATATAACCATAAAAATTGGTTATATATATATGTATATATATATATATATATATATATATATATATATGTGTGTGTGTATATATATATATATATATATATATATATATATATATATATATATATATATATATATATATATATATACACATATATATATATATATATATATATATATATATATATATATATATATATATATATATATATATATATATATATATATATATATATATATATATATATATAGTAGAAAATCACTTATCAAGTTTTTTTATTTTACACTGTAGTTCATCTATAAAGACTCATCAGAAATCATTAGATGAACCAGTGTAAAATGAAAAAACTTGATAAGTGATTTTCTACTAACATATACATATATATATATATATATATATATATATATATATATATATATATATATATATATATATATATATATATATATATATATATATATATATATATATATATATATATATATATATAATATATATATATATATATATATATATATATATATATATATATATATATATATATATATATATATATAGTAGAAAATCACTTATCAAGTTTTTTTATTTTACACTGTAGTTCATCAGAACCAGTGTAAAATGAAAAAACTTGATAAGTGATTTTCTACTAACATATACATACATACATATATATATATATATATATAGTCTTGCATGTCTCTTGCGTAGCATCAAAAAATATTTCCCATAAACTGTAGTTTTAAAGAGCGCGTTAATAAACCAGACCAGAAAAAGTTTTAAAAATTAAATTTTTTTTTTTAATTGATAGACTGCCTGGCCAAACCAAACCCTCAGTCGATGTAGCAGCACTCTCTTGCGAGTCAGGCTATTTGTCAGTCGTTGTAGCAGCACTCCCTTGCGAGTCAGGCTATTTGTCAGTCGTTGTAGCAGCATTCCCTTGCGAGTCAGGCTATTTGTCAGTCGATGTAGCAGCACTCCGTTGCGAGTCAGGCTATTTGTCAGTCGATGTAGCAGCACTCTGTTGCGAGTCAGGCTATTTGTCAGTCGATGTAGCAGCACTCCGTTGCGAGTCAGGCTATAAGATAGTCGATGTAGCAACATTTACGCATGTTTAAAAAATGTTTTTTATTAAATCAATAACAAAAACACCACTAATTAAAAAAAACTTTCTAGTCGTTATAATTGCAATTTTTTAAAAATTTTTTAAAAAACAATTAAATTTAATGTACTTCCGCATAAATTAATTGCTTTGACATTTCGATGACAATTAAAAACAGCTTAAGAGACGAGGTAATTAAAATTGTAGTCGTAAGAGACTTTTTTTACATTAAAATGCTCTTAAAGCGACACTATATGAGTACTAACATATATATATATATATGTTAGTAGAAAATCACTTATCAAGTTTTTTTATTTTACACTGTAGTTCATCTATAAAGACTTATCAGAAATCAGTAGATGAACCAGTGTAAAATGAAAAAATTTGAGAAGTGATTTTCTACTACACTTTTCAAGATGTAATTGAGAATATGAAAGTTGTAATATTACAATATACGATTTCTGTATTTACAGAAATCGCAACATATAATTGAGAAACACAACAAGTAGTTAGATATCGTAATATCTAATTAAGAAACAAAACATGTAATTAAGAAACACAACATGTAAATAAGAAATTTTTAATATGTAAAGCTTTTAGGTAATTATAAAAAGTTTTCTGGAATATGAGTTTGAATAACTTCATGTTCTACACCTTTTCAAGATGTAATTGAGAACTTTGAAGTTGTAATTAAGAAACCTAAGATGTAATTGAGAATATGAAAGTTGTAATTGAGAAACATAAGATGCAATTTAGATCATGAAAGTTGTAAATAAGAAATCATAAGTTTTAATTGAGAAGATAAAAGTTGTAATTAAGAAAAGTTTGTAGTATAGATTATCAGAAAGAAGGTCTTTGTATTTTTAATTTTTGTTGCTTTAGTTTACCTTTTAATTTAAGGTTGGATCCTAATTTGGTCAAGGTGGACATATGTTTTGGTTCAATTAATAATAATATATTATCAATAAAATAAAAAAGTGATAAAAAAGACATTTGTAGTTTTGGAGAAATCAGATGAATAATAAATAAAATGCAAATAATTTATTTACAAAAAAATGTAAAAGTTTAAATTGAATTTTAAAAATGTCATTAAAAATCATTGTAATATTCAGTTAAACACCTCATTGTAATGAAATCATTACCAAATCATTATAATATTCAGTTAAAACACAGCTAAACTTGGGCATCTTCCATATTTAAAATCTTTGCATAATGCTTCGTTCCATATTTAAAATCTTTGCATAATGCTTCGATTGAGCAGCACGTGCACAATCACCTTCTAATATTTTATTTTTTGCCGCAGTACCAATTCTTTCAAAAATTCTGTAATCATTGTTCCACAACCCCAGCAATGAATACAGATGGAATGAGAATCGCATTTTTAATGTTACTTTTAATTTTAAACAAGATTGTTTCCGCTGGGTTTAACATTAGATTGTTGGTTCCTAAACAATACAACGGAGCTGGAGAATTTTTAAACACCCTTTCGAAACGAGCGTGATATGGAGCATTGTCTGTTACAATGACCAAGTCCTCTAAAAGACTCCCAAAAGTAACCCAACTGGTGAAACATAACCAACATCTACTTGTAACAAGATTCTGCATTAAATGATACTCTGTGAGCTTCCATCATAACGACATTTATTGTTGATATAACTGCAATCAAATGTATGTTTGCACCGTTTGAAGCAGACATTTTTATTATTGATCTTTTTTTACTGTTAGACACATCTTTGTGTTTTTCTACAAAAAAGGTTAATATTTGTTTCATCTAACCAAACTATCTGATGATCATTTGTGATTTGTTCCTTGATGTTCCTAACATATTCAGCTCTTTTTTGTTCGTTTCTTTTACTGTTTCTTGTAAAAAGTACCTTAAGCACTTTTTTTAATAAAAGCAATCTGAATTTGAGGTAAGTTCTGCCTTGGTGGTTGTTGTTGTTCTAGCACTAATATTAATAACTTTTTTAAGTCTTCATGTTTTTGTTTTGATAAGTTGTCATAATATTTTTGTTTTGATTCTCAGTCAATTTTTTTAGTTTAAATTCAATTTAACAGCAGACTTTGGGTCATAGTGTATTGACAACGATTTTTAATTCCATTATTATTACGGATGCATACAAATGCTCAATTTCATTGATTTAATTTTTAACTTATTCAAGTTCATGTTCCGAAAAACCTTTTATAATGAACTTTGAGCTTACATTGTGAATTCGCAATTACAAATTATGAATTCACATTTACATATTGCGATTTCTTATTTACATGTTGTATTTCTCAATTACATATAACGATTTCTTATTTACATGTTGTGCTTCTCAATTACATTTTACGATTTCTTATTACATGTTGTGTTTCTCAATTAAATTTTACAATATCTAAATTACATGTTGTGTTAAGTGAAATGACAATTGGTTGACTCTGGCGCAAAATTTAGGAGTCCAATATAAGTTAGGTTCGCAGTGGAAATTTAAATTTTATTCGATAAGGTGGTTTTATATATATATATATATATATATATATATATATATATATATATATATATATATATATATATATATATATATATATATATATATATATATATATATATATATATAATATATATATATACATATAATATATATATATATATATATATATATATATATATATATATATATATATATATATATATATATATATATATATATATATATATATACATATATTTTTAAATAATAATTTTCTTGTTAAATTTCTTTTTATTGTTATTAGTTTATTTTATTTAAGGTGATTTTTACATCACAAAGCATTCGAATCTTGCTGAAGTGCATGCTGTTTTCCATTTAGTATGTGATGACTCAGTAATTTCGGGGTCTTTAAATTCACGCCATCCAATAATGATTGGTTTGCGAAATATACTATTAGTAGCAGCCCGGCATAGCATTAACAATCTTATAGTTCCATTGCTTCTTGTTCATGAAATGGGTGAGGTAACCCCTAATTTAAATCAAATTTAATTCAATAAAAACTATTGTTGTCTAAATTTACTTATAGAACTTTACTTTTCTTTATTTTTCAAATTTGTTTGACTTCTTTTTAACTACTATTTGATGTTGTTTTGTTTGTTTCTTTAAAAACCTAAAGTTTTTTATTGAACTTTATAGTTTAATGTTGCAGTAATGTTTAACCTTTAATAAAGTTAAATAGTAATGTTTAACCTTTTTGTAACCCATTTGTAGTAATTTTTAATCTTTTTAGAACTTTACAGTTCAATGGTGTATGAAGAGAGCTGAGCTTATTTTTAAATGTGTTAAAGGTAATTTTTCATTTGTTAAAAGTAATTTTTAAATGTGTTAAAGGTAATTTTTCATTTGTTAAAAGTAATTTTTAAATGTGTTAAAGGTAATTTTTCATTTGTTAAAAGTAATTTTTAAATGTGTTAAAGGTAATTTTTCATTCGTTAAAAGTAATTTTTAAGTGTGTTGAAGGTAATTTTTCATTAATTTAAAAGTAATTTTTAAATGTGTTAAAGGTAATTTTTCATTTGTTAAAAGTAATTTTTAAATGTGTTAAAGGTAATTTTTCATTAATTTAAAAGTAATTTTTAAATGTGTTAAAGGTAATTTTTCATTTGTTAAAAGTAATTTTTAAATGTGTTAAAGGTTATTTTTTTAAAGATATTTTTTAAAGGTTTTAAAATGACATTCATATTCGATTTTTTATGAGAATTTTCTTAATGATTATCGATTAAAAATTGAGATAAAAGTTAAAAGTTTTTATGTTTTAGGTTTTATGATGGAAGGTTTGTCATGGGATGGTCAAGACTCAAAAACTGTACAGTTTGTAGTTCCTCCGGTATATGATAATATTTTATTTTGATTTACTTATATACGTTTTTTTAAAACAAAGTTCAATATAATCATAGTTTTTGAATTTATCATAAAAATATTTTTTCAGGGAATATCAGAAGAATTGTTTTTGGCTTTCAGTAATATGCTTCCAAATATCTTCCGAGTTTCAACAACACTTAATCTCTCCAACATCTAAAATACGTTTTTGGCATTCAATAATATGCTTCCAAATATCTTCCGAGTATCAACAACACTTAATCTCTCCAACATCTAATATATGTTGAAACACAAATTTCGTTGAAACTTTTTTTTTCTATTGTTTTGCTGTTGTTTATGCTGATGTTATTTTTCGGAATTTGACTTTTTATGGAATAAAAATGAAATAAAAAGGCGAAATTACTGCTTGCCCCCTCTCTCCTCTCTCCTCCACACACACATACCTTTTGAATTCTTGATGCATTTGTATCTCAAAAAAAACTTTATAATGGTAACCCTTTTTTGAACTCAGCACCATCTTTTGAAATTTATATTAACAGTATTAACATAGTAAAATTAACAGTAATAACATAATCATAAATGCTATGTTATTACTGTTAATTTTTCTAATTTGAAAAAATATATATAAATAGATGTTTTTTGGTTTTGTAGAAATTCTTTAAATAACATTCTAATAACATTAATAATAACGTAGATTGTTATACATAATATTTAAGATATATAAAAATTGCAAAATTAAATATAATAGTTTAATAAATATTCTTTAGTAGGTAAAAAGCTTAATTTAAAAATAAATTGTATTCATAAAACTTGCGCAGTTTTTACAAAACTAAACTAATAAAAAATAGAATGCAAATGCGAAACTTGCATAGTTGCATGTTTACAAAAATAAACGAAAAAAAAAATGGAATGCCAATGTTTTATTTTTTATTGTTTTTATATATATAAACACCCTTGCCACTGATAGCATAATTCCGTAACGCTGTAAACATGTCCCATAAATTTCTTCAACAGAATGAATCCGTGTAAAAATTTCTCTTTTGTGGTTAATTATAATATAAAAATAAATTCTTTTTGCGCGCTTTAAGTAGTTAATCTATTAATTTAGACATCATTATCCAATTAAACATTTTAATATCATTTTACCATATATACACCCTATATATAATTTGTCCCTGAATTTACTAATATATTTTTTTTATAACTAGCTAATGACTAGTTAATGACTTGGATAATTAACTAAATCAGGTATGGGCAACCTTTGACATGGTGTGGGCTAAACTTTAGTATGCAAATACGTTCGCAGGCCGCGTTTAAAAGTACCGAATTTTAAAGTAGTACTTTAATGAAGTAAGTCATAATTTTTAACGATATATATATATATATATATATATATATATATATATATATATATATAATATATATATATATCAGACATGAAATAATAAGACATTGCTATTGTAATACAATTTATTCAAATAACAAAATTAAATGAAAAAAATAGATTCAACATAATAATTGAATTAGCGATGATGAAATCAATGAGACACCTGAGCTTGAATTAGGGAAACTAATTCATCAATGTTTGGATTAATTCCACTGACTAGACGTACAAATCAATCTTCTTGCGAATTTTCTACGCTGTGGAAAATGGCCTTCTTTGAGGTATTTTTTGTAGAAATCGCACAATTCCACGTCTTCAAATTTAGATTTTAAAAGTAAATTTTCTTGAATCTCGATTAACTCCATTTGCAAGTGTATACGAGCATTTTGTATATTACTTTTTGTTGGAATAGTAAATAAATGAAAACAGTCCATGTTTTAAAAATCGCTAAATCTGTTCGAAAATTGCTCCGACAGTAATTTGAGTTCTTCAGCATATTGAGCAAATCAATCATTTATTTCTGAATTAAGGTTTTACATTCAAGGATGTTTACAAATAGTAAATATACTAATTTAAAGTAAACACCTACTAATGTTAATAATATCTAATTAAAATAAATATAATGCTAATTTTCATAATATATAATAACGATAATAAACTTTATAACATAAAATAACGATGTAATGTAAATACCGATGTTATAACAATAATAACAATAATAATAATAATAACAACAATATTAGTATTAGTAATAATAAAAGTTAAAAGTAGTTATCAATAGTAAATATTAGTAAAAATAACAATAATCAATAAAAAATATAGAATAGAAACTGTAAAAAAAAAAAATATATATATATATATAAATATATATATAAATATATATATATATATATATATATATATATATATATATATATATTACGGCAACAAAAATAGATTATAGAAATTATAAACATTAACTATATTTTTTTTTAAAAAAAGTAGAATAAACTGGTTTTAAAGGTTGAGAATGAATTGAGAGCTTTTAGTTCATAAGGAAGGTTGTTCCAAGTTTTAGTGCTTTGATTTTTTATGGATTTATGCCCGTAATTATGAGAACGGTGTTTAGAGACAGACAGGTTTAAATTACTATCGGAACGAAGGTGATAACGATTGTTGGCACTTTTGGAAAAGAAATTAATGAAAGTTAAAGTTAGGTTATTGTGTTGGTGGTTCCAGACAAATTGACAGTTTAAGAGTTGAATATAGTCACATAGTTTTAACACTTTAGAAGTTAGGTAGAGCACATTAGAGTTAAATTTAATATTCTGAAAATGAATAATTTTTCAAGCTTTGTTTTGGAGGTGGGATAACCTAATAAGAGCTTGTTGATGGGACTGCCCCCATACTTGGCATGCATATCTAAGATGTGAGCCAAAAATAGCATGGTATATGTTCAAGAGTGTCTCAAAATTAACATAATGGCGAATTTTGGCCAACATACCATTAGATCTATTTAGTTTCATTGCTAAGTCTTTACAGTGGGATAAAAAGGAAAGATTTGAATCGATTTTTATACCAAGATATTTAATTGAGTTAACAGGTTCAATTTTTTTGCCACTTAATCTAAAGTTCATATGTTTATAGATTTTTGTTTTATTTGATTTAAAGATAATGAGTTCAGTTTTATTAGAGTTTAGAAAAAATTTGTTGGAGCGAAGCCACTGAACTAGATTGGCAAGATCATGGTTAATGTGTTTGTTAATTTTTTTAAGGGATTTATTAATTAGTATTAGATTAGTATCATCAGCAAAGTGGTAAACAGTAGCAAATTTAATGGATGTATGAAGATTATTAACATAAAGAAGAAAAAGCAGTGGTCCTAATACTGAACCCTGAGGAACACCATTAGAACATTTTACAAGAGTAGATTTTGAGTCATTAATAGAAACAAATTGTGTTCTATTGTTTAAATATGTAGTGAACCATTTAAGCGGTACGCCTTTGATCCCATAATATTCTAATTTTTTAACAAAATTAAATGATCCACTGTGTCAAACGCTTTATGTAAATCGACAAATACACCACATGCATTTATTATCAAGTGCTTTTCTAATTAGTTCAGTCATTTCAATGAGAGCATGAGTTGTGGAGTGATTGGCACGAAATCCATACTGATGGGTGTGAAAGCATTTAAAATTTTCAAGAAAAGAATATAGCCTATTATGCATGGCCTTCTCAAAGAGTTTACCTATATTAGAAAGCAGAGAGAAGGGTTGGTAATTGGTGAAATCTAAAAGAGAGCCTTTTTTAAATATTGGAATAATCATGGCAACTTTAAAAATATCTGGGAAAATACCACTTTTAAATGAGTTATTTATAACAGTACAGAGAGGCTTTGAAATAATGTGTGAGACTAGTTTGAGGAAAAATGTAGGTACGCTATTAGGACCAAGACTTTTTTCTGTTTTAAGTGTGTTTGTAATGAGCCCAGATATTTCATTTTCAGTTACTGGATTAATAAAAAACGAATTAGCATTCGGAATGTTAAGAAAGTCACTAAAATGCGTTTAGGGGGTATGGCTTTGCTAAGTAGTTTGTTGTGCAGAGTGCTAAAGTAATTATTAAATATATTAGATACAGCTGTGTGATCAGTGATAAGATTTTCGTTCAATTTAAGTTTAAAAAATATATTGTGTGTAGAAGGTCTAATATTAATGATTTCTTTTATTCCCTTCCAGGTGTTTTTAATATTGTTCAGATAAAGTATATTTTTTTGCTAAATTTTAATAAATTAGAAATTTTGTTTCTATAAAATTTAAATTTTGCAAATAATTCATTTTTCTTATGAACATTTTTTGATTTTATAAACTTTTCATAAAGTTTGTTTTTAACTGAAATAGATTTAAGTATTCCATACGTAATCCAAGGTTTTGATTTTAGTTTAATTTGTTGATTGGTTAGTATTTTATAAGGAGCATGTCGGTCTAAGATTTCATCAAATTTTTTTAAAATAAAATTCATGGATTTATTAACATCATCATCCTTTTTTAATGAAGAGTTCCCAGTTGATATCAGAAATTTCCTCAATAAATATATTTTTATTAAATTTTTTGAAGCATCGTCTGTAAGTTTTTACTTTTTTGGGGCGGTGGGGTATGCCAGGAATGCAAATAAATTGTGCCATGTGGTCTGAAATTGAAATAGTAAGGTTACCTGAGAATTGATCAGTTGAATCAACGTTCGTAAATATGTTATCAATGAGCGTTTTTGATGTAGTCGTTATGCGTGATGGTAAAATTATAGAAGGGCTTAGCGAGTAAGATGTTAAAGAATCTAGATATGTAGAAACAGGGTTAGATTCATTGTGACTTAATAAATCCATGTTAAAATCACCCAATAGAAGAATCTTTTTTATTTCGTTACTTAACTTTTCAAGTAGAGGAGTTAAGTGGGAAGAAGTAAATTCATGTTGATTCATTGAGGGATGACGATAAATGCAACCAATTACTATATTTGATTCAAAAGGTATTAAAATTTCAACAAAAAAAGACTCTAAATGTTTTGAAGAGTAAATCATAAGATCATTGCGAACGACGTAGTTTAAATTTGAGAGTAAGTATAAAAGTGTTCCACCTTTTTTAGCCTCAGTAGGACAATGCTCAATATTAAACCCGTTTATGTATATATCAGTTATATTTCGTTTATATATAAATTAGATTCTGTAATACCTATTGCTAAGGAAAATTATTAAGAAAGCTGATAAGACTACAGAGTTCGTTAAAATGGAATGGTAGAAAAGCGATGTTAAGATGAATATATAGTTCTGAATTGGGAAGCATAGTTTTATTGAGATCAACAACGTCATAGTATTTGCAATTAACAGGACTGGGAAATTTATTTAGATCTTTAAAGATATTTTTACGATTACTTCGAGTCTCAAAAGAATATAATGAACTAGTAGATATATTTTTGCATAATAATGTTGACTTATTGACTAACTGAGCTCTAAGCTGGAAATCGAGCTAA